ACACACACACACACACACACACACACACACACACACACACACACACACAACACCTATACACACTAACTTGTAAACACACTTATACTCACAGGCAGGTACACACATGCACACTCACTCTCACACACACACTTGCACACACACACACACTTGCACACACACACACACACACACACACACACACACATGCTGCAGAGGTATCCACACACACAAACACAAACCCACAGATAAAATGTAGTGGTTGAAAATGATGAAACCTTGGTAAAATGTAATGGTATCATACATCCACATCTTGTGTCTGAAGTGCAGAAAACAAAATTAACTTAAAAAAAAAGAACTAAAATGGAGATAAATTCAAATGAATATTGAAAAGCATGCCCATCTTCACTGGTCTAACCCAACTTGAAACGACCACAAACCCAGAGTGTTGCCCTCTCTACCCAAACCCCAACCCCCACCCCTTTGCTCCACCCTCCACCTGCCCCATGCCCTCTTACCCTTCTCATATCATACCCACATCCCCGGCTCACCCTCATCCTGCCCTCGGCCTCCCTCCCCCCTTTCCAACACCTGCCTCCCGAACCCTCTCTGCTCAATTTCAGGGTGCTCCTCTGAGTCCCAGATGAAGGCCTGGCTGAGAGGAGGAAGCAGGCGGGCGGATGGGGGGGGGGGGCTGCTGGTTCAGGCTCTGGTCACCATATATCAAAAACACAATGTCCAGTTCAGAATACAGAGTGAGGACTGGGGGGTAGAGGAGTCTTGTTGTGTGTTGAGGTTGAAGGTTGTGAACTTTGTTTGTTTGTGTGTTGATGTTTTTTACAGTGGCATTGGAAAAACAATCTTATCATGTTAGTCTAGATGTGAGTGTTTGGGTTAGTATTTTTGCGATGTTGTGTGAAGGCATGGGGGGCAGTGGAGGTGGGGTTGGCGTAGCTCAGGGCCTTGTCCCTCATCCCTCGGCCCCAGTCGGAGAAGGGGACAGGGGCCGGTTTATAGGGCTTGCGTCTTGAGCTCGATGGGCTCCCCGCGGGTGTCCTGCTGGGTCTCGCTCTCGGGGGGCCGGCTGCCCTTCAGCGTGGCCAGGCGCTCGGACAGACCTCTCATGCGTGGGAAGAGCATGAAATCGTACAGGAGGGCGCCCATTGCACCTCCTATCATTGGCCCAACCCAGTACACCTGCAAGCAGCAAACATCAGTCAACACAGTGTTCATTCGTTTATTGTTCCTGCTCAGATTGTTGTCTTCGGTGAGACTGCAGGTCTTACCCAGTGGTTGATGAAGTTCCTGAAGAGCAAAGCAGGGGCAAAGGACCTGGCAGGGTTCATCCCAGCACCGGTGTAGTACATCTAAAACACAAGACACTTGTTACTACATTGTGTTTTTTTTTAATATGTAATTGTTATTTGATATCTATGTTTCTCTTGTGTCTCACCCCCATGAGATGTCCAATGGTGACAGAGAAGCCGATGGACAGGGCAGCAGATCCCAGGCGTCCGTTTCTCCTTTCATCAGTCACGGCGAAGATGCACACCACAAGCTGCATGGTGAGGAAAACCTCCACAGTCGTGCCCATTCCCAGACTGATGCCCGGCTGCAGCTGGAGATACACAGGTAGATGAAAAAATATTTGTATAAGTCAAAAAAATCTCAGATCTGTATGAAACATATACTGCTGAATTTCTCTTTTATTTAAGAAATATATAACTTACTGGAAATAATTATACACCCAGCATTTGTTTGGTTTCAAGAGATTACTTTACTGAACTGAACCTGAATTCATAACAAATTCTTAAACTTGTATGCCATGAAATCAACCTCCTCAAAGAACATTGCTGAGTTTGTTTTCTTATCTGTGATGGGTCCTTACCGTGTTCATCGCCATGTTGCCTCTCATGTTGCCGGGCGTGACCCCGTACAGCACAGCGGCCCCAGCCACAGCACCCAGGCACTGGGCGACCATGTAGAAAATGGCGCGGAAAAGAGACAACTGTGAGCCAATAAGGTAGGCAAAGGTGACGGCAGGGTTAATGTGGCCGCCGCTGATGTGGCCGATGGACTGAATAAGAGTGGCAGCTGCCAGCCCGAAGCACAGGGCCACATGAAGGACATGATGAGGCCCGGTGGTCCAGCGCAGGGCAGCACCCATGCCAAAAAATACAAAGAACATGGTCCCGAAGAACTCTGCGAAGACTGCCCGCCAAAAATTCATGGACCGGAACTCCCACATGGTGACTGTTCACTTGAGGCTCGCCACCAGATGAAGAAGATTCTTTAAAGAAAAATCAGCCAAAAAAGTCAGCTAACTCGGCTGACTAAAAAAAAAAAAAACACTCAAAACAGGATTTCAGAACGTCAACAGACGAATCCACCCAATGGATCTTTGCCAAGCCGTGAACTGGGTTGGTTAAGTCAACTCAGCTGCGCTCGCTTGCCACCTCTGTCCACCTGTCGCAAAGACATAGGTGTGAGATAATGTGGGAGTGTGGGCACAGAGATCTCAGGTGGGAAGAGTTGTCAAGAGGAGGTGGGCATCAATGCTAAAGGGATGTTTCTAGAGTAGAGACGGGGATAGACAGAGTGTCCGGTGGACCTTTTAGCCTCTCTGACGGAGGGGAGAGGGCCAGACAGGGGCTTTATAATACCCCCCCAGGGGCCCCAGGTGACGCCATAATCCCCCTGTAGGGCCAAGGGCGGGGGGCGGCATTGCTGGTCATCCTAAATCAAACAAACTTAACCCCTCTGTCGCCCCCCCCCCCCTAAAACAGAACGAGGCCAAAAGAGAGGCAGAGTACCCGAGAAGAGAAACCGATAAAGCGAGAATGAGTGGAAATCAATGAAAGACATTTAGCGGGAGAGTTTTTTGGCTAAAGACAATACAGGAAGTGCTGTATCTTATATTCAAGGGGGGAGGGAGTGAAAAACCAAGAGGAACAGCCACGATGAAGAGCAGCTGGAGAAGAGCGGAGAAAGTTTTCTTTGGGGCGTATGTCATCTGTTGACATTTCATAACTGTCATAATCAGGGGACTCAAATGCTGATGGACAAGGACAGACATGAAAGAACACAAACATGCATGCACAAAGACACACACATGCACACACGCGCACACACACACACACACACACACATAGACATATACACACACATGCAGATAATACAGTTGGGGCCCCTGACGGAAGTGCCCAAAGCTAACAGCGCTGAACTGACCCATACACTGAAATGCCTGACCCTGTGAAACCATTGTCTGTGGGCTACGTATGGACAGAGACAAGAAAAAAAATACATATTAAACTAAAGAACAGAAGTTACAGCTAACTAAGCGTTTCCTTAAACGCTAGAGTTTGTGATTTATCGCTTCCGTTTATTGTTCTTGAGAAAATCCCACCACCAAGCACTGCCTTTAAGAGGAGTTAAAATGGCAGCAGTCAGTGCCGAGGCCTGTGGTTATGAACACTAAGACCTGAACTTGACATTGCCTCAGAGCTCAAAGTCGTCACTGGCACTGCTCCACAGCCAATGGTAGTGTAGTGGAGACGTGAGAGGGTGAAGAAAAACACAAGCAATGAACCAACAGTGATTCACATAACACAGCAGATTGTGTCTTCTGTTGTGACAAAGGCTTCTAAGAGGCGCTCAGCAGAGCTTTGCATTATGTGTGTGTGTGTGTGTTTGAGTGTCTGTGTTGCAGGACGACGTTCGACCAGAGCCGTGAAAGTTCTGTGCGTGTGCATGTGTAGCTGGGGTAAAGTGAGAGGTGCAGTAGGGTAGCAGGGATGAGTGGGGCATAGTGGGGTTACTGAGCAGCACCGGGGCATCGCGCTGGGGGGGGGGGGGGGGATGAATGCAGAATGCTGTGCTTGCCATTTTGACTCCCTTTTATACATGTTAGAAAAAACACACAATGCAAAATGCTGGCGGCACTGTGGCAGTTATAGCCATTGTGCACGTTGTGTGTGTGTGTAAATAGTTTATATGTGTGTGTGTGTGTGTGTTTAAATTACACTGCCATAATGATTGCTCACATGGTTTATTTTAGATTTGCAGTCAAATCCAGATAGTACAGTGCACATTATGTTTTACCTAAATTATGAATATTCATATATAATAAATAGACTTTTTATTATATTCATTTTAAAGATACAGTTCATACAATAACAAAAACATTTCCTCACTTATAACAAGTAATTAAGGAGACGGATATCGAAAAACCCATATGAAAGCCAATCTCTCTGCATGGTTGAATACTACTTGAAGTTATTGAGAAAATGTGTTTTTTTTGGGGGGAATTTGGGTGAACTGACCCTTTAAATTACATATTTTAAGACAAGACAAATACGGCAATGATACGAAAAACACACACGATAGTAATAAAGGTTTTGTGAAAACAAAAAGTCTCTCACACACCCAAACACGTATTATCACACACACACACATACACATCATATTAATTTCATATTACAAAGCTTATTTCCACTGAACATTCTTTCTTTAGAGCCATTTCAGAGGTAAAAAGGTCCATTTGATTGTGAAAGGGAGGCCTAAGAGAAGAGACGGACGCAAACAGGCACAGACATGAGAGACTTGTTTGAGAGCATCATTGAACCCACAATGCAGCGCAAGGACCTCTTTAGCATTTCAAAGCATTCACAGACGCAGGATGAAACTGAAAATGGCCAACATAATGGGGGTTTTCAACCGGGTTTCAATGAATCTCCATTATACATTTTAATGATGTGCAAATTTGAAAGTAACAACATAGAATCTCACAATATTGGCTCGACCTTTACATCCACTAATGACAGCCAACGGGGACCTCAAATATAACATTCATCTCCTTCAGAATGCAGCTTTCTCTTCACATGTGCAACAAAAAGCATCGAGGGAAATAATCATTTTAGCCAAAATGTGTAGCCTCCATAATGTGGTGATAATGTTTCAGTGGAGGGACATTGAAAGGATAACTCACTGAAATGTGCAGGTAAACACAGTTATCATAGTAACCTTCCCTTTGTTAATGGATGTATTGACACCTGAGCAACATGTGAGTTTATTGTGGTCTCTTGAAAACACATTGGACAATTGCAGACACATGATGCTTCAAGAAAATAACAATCTTATGTGGAAGCCATATGTCAACAACCCCAAATCACCCGAAATTATTAAAAATGTAAAAGTGAGACGAAGAAGATATGACCAACACCAAGATGAATTTACAAGCATAAAACATATGATTACTGAACATGATAAGCTTAAAGATTCAGGGTTCTTAGTTTGGTATGAAGTATCCTATGGTGGCTAATGTGAGCTAGTAGCAGATATTACCAAGAGACGGATATTGCAGAATGCTTGTGTGTTTCTTTGGGGGGTTTTATTCTTGCATGTGTCCTCAGTTGTTTTCTGGTTTGTTGGTCTGCTTGGCTCTCGCGTTCTGTGTGACTGTGGACAGAGATGATCCCGTCATGCTGGCCGCCTCCACAATCTCGATGTCCTTGCAGGTCAGACATGCCACCAGCTTCTGGCGAGAGGCGCTGCGTGCAAAAAAGAACTCATGGGACACTCCGCCCAGTATAGCACCGATCACTGGTCCGATCCAATAAACCTGGAGGTTGGAAAAAGAGATTGAGATTCAAGAGGTGTGTGGAGACAGAATAATGCTTTTGAATTATCTGGATGGTCCGAGACGAGTAGACATCTTAGAATCACCTGAATATTAACTGAGCTTTACAATTGAGGCAATATAGATACTTTTACAGTGTTGGAAGTAATTAATAGGTCATAATTTAGTATGGCATATGTTGGGTAAAATGTCATAGTATGATAGGCCACTAAGAATGGCAGAGTGTAAGATGCAAAAAAAGTCATAGCATTGCAGAACATAAAGAATCATAAAAATAGCATAGTATAGCAACTCATAAACATGTCAAAGAAATGTCAAAAATAACGACATAGTATAGTATGGCATAGAAAAGTGATAGAAAAGTCTTTAAAAATGGCATAGTATAGTATGCTATGAAATACTAGCATAGTATAGTTTGCTATAACGAAAACATAAAAAAATGTCGGAGTACAGTATGCCATATTGTTTTAGTGTTTTTTTATAGAGACTGATCTCTCACCCAGTGGTTTTCCCAGAATCCAGTGACGATGGCTGGACCTAGAGAACGTGCAGGGTTCATACTCGCACCGGAGAATCGTGCCTGACAGAAAAACAACACACACAAATTTAAAAAACACGTTTTCAAGTTTTCTTGTCATTTGCTTTTTTTCTGTCTTTAATCTAATATTTTTGCAGGGTATCGTTCTCTACATTGTATGGCTTCCTCAGTGTGACCTGGTTACATCACAGAACAGTTCTTATGGTAAACATACCATAATGTGTGTCTTATGGTTACTTTTGCATTCTCCCTGAAAGGCTTTAGTTTAGTGCAACTCCAGAAAACTCCAGAGCCTCCAACATGGTTTCAGTCTGCTTTTGAAGAACCAGGTTAGATCATTCTTGCTGAAATCTCTCCATACTCTTGAGTTAGTGGTAGTACACCAATCTTCTTCAAACGTTTCAATATTTAGCTCTGATTCCTATTATTTTTATGTAATTTTTCATGTGTCATAATTCTATATAACTAATTCACTTATTTTATCACCCTTTCGTAGGACACCAGTGGAAATACCCTGAACAACGCTGCCATACTGACACACTTATGGGTAAAGTTTTTCTGAACTGTATGTCTTTGGATTGTGAGATAAAAAACATGAAAAGTTAAAGTAAACGTTAATTCCACAGAAAATGGCGTGAGACTGACGTTTTACAAAAATAAAATATGGAATTTATATTCTTTGACATAAATACGGATGTCACATTGTTAAGACTTAGAAATATATATGATCAGCATTTAACTTAAAAATGTCAGTTCCTTTTGTCTTTTGGTTCAATAAAAACAGGTCCAGATAACTTAAAATGTTTAGCTGTTTTAACAAAGTGAGAAATGTCTGTAAACTTGTGTTTTTTAGTTGTGGAACCATTTCTTCAGAACAAATTATGAGTTGAGTAAATGCGCATCTACTAATTCAGCATGACAGCTCCTCTTACCCCTATTAGCACTCCAGCAGTGTGTGCTAATCCAATGGCCAGGGTTCCTGGCTCTGGGCTTTCCCTCCGTCGCTGATCCTCCACTGAGAACACAGTGAAGACCATCTGGTAGGTGCACAAAACCTCGATGCCCAGAGCCTGGGCTGCATTCACCTCTATAGGAACCTGAGTGAGGTAAAACGGGAGTATTCTCAAAACATGTAAAGTCTCTCAAGCTTTAAAAGGTAACCGTCTGAAACTCTGAGGACTGACCCTGTTGATGAAGTGGTCTGCAGTGGTTTTGACCGGCATTGCCAGGTAAAGGGCCCCGGCTGCTAAAAAGGCCCCCAAACACTGTGCAGCGACATAAACGACGGCCCTGAGGACCTCCAGCCTCCGCGTGGCCAACAGAGCCAGAGTCAAAGCAGGGTTCAGCTGATCAGAGTGCACAAACACACACTTACATATAAACAATGTTACAACTATGGAATGACAAATAATAATAATACAAACTCAACAACTGCCAGTGATGGAAAGCAATCTGGGTACCCATCGGCTATCACACAAATAGGCATACAACAGATTCTGCATTCGTATGTAGAATGTTAATATAGAGATGAAGTGGAAAGTAACTACGTTTATTTACTATTCTATTTTATGATACTTCATACTTCTACTTAACTACAAAGGGAAATATTGTACTTCTTTCTTCATTACATTTATCTGACAGCTGTAGTTAAGTTTTAAGATTTTACATTTAGGAAGGAGATAAAATTATAACATACAGTCACAGATGCAACCTTTTTTTCACCACTGACAAAAAAGTATTGTCTGATTTTAGGTTATATGGTTTCATCATATAACTGCTTGAGACCTAAAGAGGTAAACGTATCCATTATATGTATATTTTTAAAGGCAAAGATTATAGAAAATACCAAAAATATAATGCAGATTCATGCTGCAGAACTTTGTTTGAATTTAAAGATTGTTAAGATATAAAGCAGTTTAAGCAAACAGTCAAATAACACAATATTAACAATCTAATAATGTCATACCTATATGAGAATATCTCACAGAGGCAATAATGATTACTTTCATTTTGGATACTTTAAGGCCTCACATTAAGCTCATAATACTTCTGAACTGCTCTACTTTTGGGGGTATTTTTACATCGTGGTATTGGTATTTATACTCAAGTAAATCATATGAGTACAATTGCTATGTCACCGCCAGCAAAGAAAAATAAATCAGGCAAAGAAATGTACAATTAAATTTAATTTGTGACTATGAGACATTCACCTGTGCACCGCTTATTTCTCCAAAACAGTGTCCCAGCGCAACAATCGACACACCTACTGCCACTGCCGGGTACAGGGGTCCCGGGGGGGCCTCTCCAGGGCCTGGCATAGAGGCACCCAGTATGGCGCTCACTAAGACCAGGGTGCCGAGCAGCTCGGCAAGAAAGGCGCGCCAGAACTGCCGACTACGTAGCTCCACGAAAGAAAGGGGACATAAACAAAGGTGGATGTCTTTTCAATCATTCATCAATCTACTGCTTAAGAGAGCCCTTCTACTGCTATCAAAGGATGTGAGAAACGATGGCACAAGTGGTATTAAAAACATGAACTACTATTAATTACTATAATATAAGATTCTTACCTCCCGCCACGTCATTTTCACCTCAGAATGCTTTTTTTCCCTCTGTGTCTCCGTCCGTCCGTCCGTGTTCAGCTCTCAGGGTCTGAGGGCTTCAGGGTTTCTGTGATGTCCCTCATTAACTTGTAGAGTCTGAGAGATCCTTTGATGGCAGCAGCCTCCCCTCCTCTCAGTCTCTCTCTCTCTCCTCACCCTCTCCTCACCCCCCACACACCTCAGGCCCTGAGTCTTCTTGTGAACAAACAGTTGCCAGTGCAAGCCCTCGAAACAATGTCTCTCCAAGGTTGCACGTGTAACACCCCTTACCCTCCCAGTTTTCCTCCAACACATAGCCTACTACCGACCTTGAGCACTTGCATGGAATTGAATGCATCTTCAGGAAACTACGAGTCGGCCTTTCACTTATCTTCCAGCTGAAGTGATTGTGGCCTCTTCAGAGGGTGCAGTGAGGACATAAAATGATGGAAACGGACTGAAATCGCAATTATAGGCATTGCCGCAAAAGTGGGTCATTTCAAGTAGCATATGTTGTTTGTCAGTTTGTGTTTATACACGACACAAAAAAAAAAATCCAAAGCTTGAAAGAGGCCAATTTCAAATTCCAGCAAGCTTCTATAAACCACAAAGTATGACAGGCCTTAAAGTCCAGTGACATTCTCGGTTTTTCTTCTTATCAACAAATGTCATGAAAAGACCAAAACCAACAATGAATTGATCCTACTGTCTGATCTTATTTATCTGTGCCATAGAGCTCCATTGTTGTCCAACAAACTATTAAAAACACATCAACTGCTGCACTTGCTGACACGCTCCTTCATTACCATGAACATGTGCAATGTAGTTTATTTTGAGTCAGTCGCACGTTCACCGCCCTGCTGCTGTAAATACTCACGAGAGTAACAAATGTGGACAAATCCACAGCTGAAAATATATCATATTACAAATGAACGATTTACTGCTTTTTGAGTCGTGTTTGCTAAAAAAAACAAAAAAAACTACAGTGAAACTTTATGAAAACTACATGCAAAAATAATAACATTCACATCAGCTTCGGCTCCACTTAGTGTTAAGTGCTAATTAGCAAGCAAATAGTTAGCATTCTTCAAATAAGATGGTAAACATTATTCATGCTGGACATCAGCATGTTAGCATTCAGCTAAGTGCAGCCTCACAGAGCTGCAAGCATGGCTGTAGACTGTTACTTAAATATTTCCTTCTTTTCATGGAATGCCTTCAAAGTAAGAAGAATATAAACAGCCTTATCCTTTAAAAACATAACGTAAGCTAAAGGTGTTGGTAGCGTGGCCTGTTGTCTCATGTGTTGGAGCACCTGGCACCCTTTGCGCAGCCTGATTTTCATATCAATTATAGGAGAAAGGGGCCATTAGTGAGCAGGGTGGGTGGGTGGGGGGGGGAGTCTTTCATGATGCTGTTGCCATAGAGCCTATTGTGATGCAGCATCTGTACAGGCTTTTTATTTTCACTCTTTGATATCAAACAAACACGCACCTTGAGTTCCACAGTTTGGCTAAAAACTGAGAATATTCACCTCTGCAATGTGGCCGGTGCAACACGTCACGGCCGCTTCGCACAACCTGAATTTTGTGTCACTAAATTATTGTTTTTCCATTTACTACAATGTGGAGAAGTCCGAACTGACTCTCCTGACCCTCCAGGCATCAGGGGGCCAGAGTCCAGAATGAACTGGTTGGTTGGTTGGTTGGTGGAGGGGGTGCCCCATTATGCCGTGGATTACCCCCTCCTCTCCAGGGCAACTGTTAAACTGTGATCCCCCCTTTTGTGGGGCTAAGCCCAACTGTGTGGAGTTGGGGTGAGCAAAGGGGGGGGGGGGGGGGGGGGGGGACGGGGGGGGGGGGGGGCACACTGGAACCCGCTGGCGTGGGGAGTTTTCAGCCCTCACTGCCCAGAGTGCTGACAATGACACAATTTCACACACAAATATACACACACTCACGTAAAGTGCCTGCTCAGGGATTTGAGGGAGCGATAGAGGGCAAAGAAAGAGGGAGAGATGCACCAAAAGACACACAAAGAACACATTTTATATATCTAAGCTATATACCTATTTGTTTGTTGTTGTTTTTAGATGCTTTGTGGATTTACGTGTTAGAATATAAGTGCGTGTGGGTGTGTTGCACTTGAGTCTCTACCACTGTAGAGCAGCTGGGAGTGATGGCAAGACGTTCCCAGCAGCATATGCCTCGGACAGAACTCTCCATGGAGCTGCAGAGCCCTGCCCAAACACTTCAGCATTATTTAGGGCCTCTTTTTTTTTTTTTAATGTGACAAATGTGACATATTGTGGTGGGCTTGCCTCGGGATACACAGAGTTTCAGTAGTGTATGTAGAAAGGGTGTGTATGACTATTGACTAAAATGTTCATCTGCCAACAGTTCCAGCGGTGTTTTAACAGTGTCACCTTCTTTTCTGGTTTGCTCATGTCACTCTTTAGTATTTATAAATACTAGTGTTTCATAAGAGTAAATGGTACTTTTTTTTTCCCCTTGATCTAATTTATCTAAGGCTTCTTTTTTATTGACTAATCAATTTTTAGATAATTACATTATTAATCCCGCAACGGGACATTTTTTCACTACAGCAGCATTTATAGATACAAAAAAAGACACTTTAATGCGTAAAAACAAGGAGGAATCGATCTATCGACTAATCGTTTCAGCTCTATCCCTAACATATGGTCAAAGTGCAATAGTTGTATTCCTTTGCTGTAAAAGGAACATGGGTACAAGGCCTTTAGCCTCTCAAGAACAACACGTTCACTGCGGTCCTTTTTTCCTCCTTTTTCTAGGTTGACGGAGTCATAAATTATGCAGCCATTTCGACATTTCATAGCAGGGTAAACACAGGTGTAATGGATACAAATAAATCATGGTCCCTTTCTATTTAGTGTGTCTCAGCCATCCCAGTGAGCCAGAATGCCCAACACAAATCAAACAGGGCAATAGTTAACATTATTAATTACACCGGTGTTCACCCTGCAGTGACATATCAAAATGGCTGCTGTGAAAAGGCCTAAAGAAGCGTTGAAATATACATTTTAATGATGACAATAATTGATGAGGATGAAAGGGCGTCATAGTACACAATACTATTATAGTACACAACACATTTAGCCAATGTATTAGTAAATTCTGGGTTTTAAATATTGTAGTCTAATAAAGACTTGTTTAATATGAGGTGCATTTAGTTAAAAGTGTTTACAATAAGACAGCCGGCCGGGCCTTCATCGTCTATGTGTACGCATGGTCTGAGGCATTTCTAAATGTGTTTGCAGAGTAGAACATATGTATGCTCGGTTTAAGCACAGATTCGTGCGTACTCAGGGTTTGTGAATGAGGCCCATTGGCACTAGAGCTGTTCCTGATAGTTTATTAGCCATGTGCAGTATATCCTTCTCTCTAATACTGTTCAGGTAGGATGGGCTGAAGCCTATCCCAGCATGCACTGGGCCCAAACAGGTCCCCAGTCAGGTCCCCAGTCTATTGCAAACACACACCGATAGATACGATTGGGAGGAAACGGGAACCCATGAGGGAAACCCCAAGAAACATGGAGAACACACAGAAGAGATCCAGATACAAGGCCAAAGAGAGAAAGAATACTCTACTAGATGTGGTTTTTATTCAACTCACAGTACATTCTACAGATGCACACGTGTTACATCACCTTAATACAACAGAGTCTTGCAATACCTCCTCTTAAAAATGATGATTTGGTCCTAAAAATATAAAGGAACAAATTTAAAGTCACCAAAACTGTACATTATTAAAAGTTCACGTAACACCACGTTTGGTTTTCATATCTATTTTTTTTTTCTTTTTTGAAAAAACGTCTGTCCCTTTAAATTGTAACAAGGAACATCAAAGTCTATTTTCCTATCAACGGATTTGAGTTCAGTGTAAGAAACACGTTTAAATAAAACCCAGACTGTGGAGTCGTCACGTCGCCTTCACAGCAGACCAACCGCGCCACGCAACGGCGTAAATTCGCCCTTGAAAAGCAACAAAAAAAAAACCAAAACAATAAAAGGGAATGTAAGACAGAAACCCAGGCAGGAATGTGCCCAGTACCTCAACATCAGAGCTCCTTCGTAATTCTAGTCTTTAAAATGGGAGGGTCTCAGCCTTGCACTTAACCACTGTTAAGATGTTGCCACCTGCTATAAAGGAGCAAAATTTCAGTCTGAGCCGTGGAATCCATTCAGTCGTATACAGTCTGGGACACAGATCAGGTGTAACTAGCTGATAATTTACTTTTAACAAGAGGGACAGAGCAATATAAAAGTCTAACCCTAGACCGACTGACCAACACCAAATAAATCCTCCAGTGTCTTTCACACAGCAGCAGAAGGTGTGGGTGTGTGTGTGTGTGTGTGTGTGTCAAATCGTGTGCATGTTTATGTGTGTTTAGGTGAAAAGTGTGTATGTGTGGCGTGCAAGACTTTAAGTGGAGGTTATACAACATCTACTCGTGACGGTCCAAGAACAGATTCTTTTTAGTTGAACTGGCCTTTTCAGAAATCGTCTGGACATCTCTATAAGGTCATCTGTACACATCCACTACACGCTATTGCTATTAAATAATCCCAGCTATTGTAATCTTTATATATATTTATGTATAGAATATATAATAAAAATATATTGAGCAAAAAAATTACTTCTAGGCATAAGACCACATTACATTACGTTTCCATTGAACAGGTAAGAAATGGCCCGAGCCCAGTGAAGCCTTTTTGATCCATTTTGTCGCCGAGCGGTGCTGAGCAGGTCCAGTGCACAGCAGTTAGGCTGCAAAAGTGTGATCAGTCTCCGACCTCCAGTACGAGTCTGAGAACCAAAACACTCAGAGAGGGGGGGGGGGGGGGGGGGG